TATTTTGGGATTTTGGTAAAAAAAAAACGATAAAAAAGTTTCATCTCGATGCGTATTTAAACGAAAAAAAAAAGAAAATATAACTGAGTATATTTTTGAAGCTCCGAAATAATTTAAGCTTAACATAAATTCAATTATTTTAATATCACCTATTTAAACATATATTTATAAATGAAAACAAAATTTCAGAATTCCTTGGATTTTGTTTTTTGTAACAACATATAGCTGGATTGCTAGGTTGTATTCTGGCTATTCAGAGAAACAATCTTTATTAGGTTTTGGAAAAATATGGTTATGCTTATACTGTCATTAGTCAACTGTTAATACTCGTATAAAGCACACCATTCACCTTACATGACACAATGAAAATAAGGGGTGGTAACATAAAATGCTTAGTGTATACACGGATACTTAAAATAAGGTAGACAATATTACATGGGAAATTCATCACAGGGAGGATATGTAAATTTATAGTGAGATTAGTGATGAGATCTGATAATCTAGCAGGTAGTTAGTTATATTGCCGATAAATGTGACTCCGTTAATAGAGAAAAACACGTGTAAAGGTTCACAGCATTATCAAGTCGTGTTAAATCGCAAGTTGCGTGACAGTGAAACTTGAGGAAATGCTAGAATCAAACGGTATTCCACTTCAACGTAGGTATAAATTCGGCTTCCCGAGAGTTGAGGCCGCGAGATAACAAAAAACACTAACATGAAGTAGGCGCCTATCTGATGGCATGCGCCAGCCTTAATCTATGTCTATGATTTTTTTTTTCAGTCTATCCGAGAGTGATGAGCGGAATTTTAATCCAACAAATTCAAACACAGATTAATTTAAGCAGATTCTTTTTCATATACTATATTATTTGTAGAACAATTAATAATTGATGGCTGTCGTAAAACAGATTAGACAGCAGCACAAGGAAATAAAAATGACATTTTACTGACGTCCACGCCACAGTTCCACGATTGATATAAATGAATAAACAGCACATGACATGAGGCTACTGAAAATCTGCAGGAACAACATTTCCTTTCTTGATAAAGATGGAATTATTTGGATATTTGAGAAAACTTTCCAGGTAACATTTGCACTAACGCAACCAACTTAAGACGTTGAAGCCTATCTGGTTGAACCCACATTGTATTAATTTCCCATACCAACCTCCGTTTGTTCCTGTAGGAGTAACGAATAAGTTTTTATTGATAGTAACACGAAAAAATCCCAAAAATACTTACATTTCATTCTCAACGGCCGATCTTGTTTGCGTCTCGGCATGCTTCTACGGAGTTTCGTACTATTCCGTTTAAAGTGGCAGGCGTTTTCACCGAAAAGCGCCTCAGAATAGTAAGTTTACTGCGTCGTTCTTCCATTCAGTAACTGTGAACATGGGTCTGACGTCGAGGTGACAAGCGGGTAGTACGCCTAGCATCATGGGAACTTACAACCATTTACGGTAGATCTGGCGCCAGGTTCGTATTAAGAGCCATCTAGTAGTGAAATTGTAATGACATATTGGTCACTCTATCTATCAAGAATGGAACTTCTTACTTTCCAAAGACGTTCCGCCCATCTGTTAAGCCTCACAAGAGAATAAGTGAATGACTGTTAAAGAAAAACAAGACCACTTGCGCAACACAATAATAACGAAAATACAGCGATGTATACACACACACATGGATTAATACAAGTGAATTTTCTGGCTCAAATATATATGCAGAGAACCAAAACCGTATTCAGCGCATCCTCCAATTTAATCACCTGTGAATGACCACAGAACTAAACCATACACTAGAGTGTGCTTTGAGCCGGTAGTAGTGAAGTCAACTTTTAACTGTAGTGGCCATAATAGGATGCCGTTGTATCAACAATACTAATGTAACATTATGGTATTTAGATATGTTAAATATTTTTTGTTTGTTTATTTGTTGAATTTCGCGCAAAGCTATTAGAGGGCTATCTGCGATAGTCTTCCTAATTCAAAAGTGATGGACTAGAGGGAAGACAGCCAATCAATACAACCCACCGCCAACTCTTGGGCTACTCTTTACTAACGAAAAGTAAGATTAATCGTAACTTTATAACGCCCCCCCACTACTGAAAGGGCAAGCGTGTCCGGTGAGGATATTCAAACCCGTAACCCCCAGACTGCGAGTCGAACACTCTAACCACCAGCCGTGCTAGGCTCCGATTTCTCTAGTATTGAAGATTATTAATTGACTTTCACCAGTTAGTAAAAATTTGCTTGAATGATTTTAATTGAAATTAAAATACTGTGATTTTTTGTTGTTGCTAACAGAATAATAGTATCAATATTCACAAAGGTTTGCAGAACCCAAATGTGTTTCTCCAAACTTTGCATATAATAGATCAAATTACTTTTTGTTGGCGGTGGGGAGTGTCAGTTATGATTCAATTATGAATAGGCATTTTTTTTTTTTACTTTCATGCAATACAACTCTGCCATCTCCCATTCAATGCAATGGAAAATTCTATTCCACATAACGTATCTGAAGTTTTAAACACTGAAAGCAATTTTGTTTAAAATGTGCAAATAAATGATTACTTACATATTTCTTCAAACTTTTTAAACAGTTACTTAAATTATGCGTGCTTAGTGTATCTGTCATTAGAAAATGTTTTTCATAATGCTCCCACACTACATAGTGGTAGGTTTGTTTCTTGTTAAGCACAAAGTTACACAATAGGCTATGCTCTGCCAACAGCGGGTATTGAAACCCGATTGTTAGTGTTATAAGCCTTCAGACTTACTGCTGAGCCACCAGGGAGGGTATAATTGTAGATTATAAGAGCATTAATTATAATAAATTGCCAAAGAGGAACATAAACAGATGAAAAACATTATTTTGCAATGATGACAACTTTTTAGGCCAAAACCCTTCTTCAGGTAGTACCTAAAATCGTTATAAAGAAACTAAAATGTTAAGATAACATATCCATATTTTTTTTTCTAAAGCGGAAAATTTAAAATATTTGCAAATCGTAATATTTAAAAATATAAGAATATTTTATTCAGTTTGAAGATATATTCCATTGTAAATCCCGAAGAAATAAGTATTTCAAAATCAGGACTTAAAACATCCGAATCTTACTATAATGGACGTAGAGCCTCTACGTGTATCTATGTATGTGCCCACAATAATAAATACGATGTGGCGCCATCTGTTGAATGGCACCACAAACAAATATCCATAACAAATTTCACACTTTGGTTATTCAAGATTCGGACAATTAGAAAAATAACTACCGTATGTGCAACAACCGTTTCTTTATCACAGAACACAATTTTAAATAAACAAGAACACGACTTTCATTAGGACTGTACGTGAGGGTTTGACTTTATCTTTATTGATGTAATTGTAGTTCTTAAAACTTTTTTCAATAAAGGATATCACTTTTAATATATAAAACATTACAGCTTACATCAGCACAATCCGAACACTCTTCCCAGAAAAATCATTTTTAAAAATATGTTCACTTTTTCTAAATGTTTTTCAATAAGGTATTAATAATACGATTAGTAATTACTAGCAAAATTAGCTGCCCGTAGGGCGGCGTTTCTGCTAGTATTAGTAATAAAAAAATGCAACTCGACGATTCGTGGGAACAGATTTTCTTGTTTAAGTAGTAGATCTTAATATTGACATTCAGATATCAATGTTTTAATTGAAAAGTCATATGACATCCTAAGACGGCTTTCATTTGGTTTCACGCCAACCGATTGGAGCATAATGTGGTTATGTGTGAATAACAGCCAGAATGAATGCAACACATTTTTTGGCTCAAACACGTAAAGATAACATAGGATAGCGCATCTGTATGGCTGAAATTGTCGTGTATAACTATTAGAATGGATACAACATATTATCTGACTATTATATTATATAATAACTGAAATGGGTATAGTACAATTTCCAGTTTAAACAAAAATGTATATTGACCAGAAAGACACAAGTATATAACTAACCAGAATGGACGCATTGTACTATTCTGGTTTAAATACATATTGTTACGCCTCTGTGTTCCTTTCTTAATTCCCCGGTATAAATTCTTTCCGAGGAATTTCAGAGATACAAGTCCTTT